GCAACAGGTGGGAGTGTTTAATACCTTCCTCTGTGATGTTAATGCTGACCGCCCTCGCCCTGCAACTTCAGCCTTTAATCTCCTCTGTCCTGCGGTCAGCAAAGCCACAGCCTGCTGATTTTTTTCTGGTGCTGTGGTGAAGCCAAGTGCCACCAGCTCTGAGCTCTCTGATCCTCCATCCCATTGAGGAAAAACCAGGTTCACCATTCCAGTTAAAGTAACCTGTTTTATTCTCTGTATTTAAGCAGCTTTGTGAATATTTGATATGAATAAATATTTACATCACAACTTTTACTTTGTGACATAACAAAGGAAATTGTGTCTACATTATTTGACTCATCAGACTAGGCAACGTTTTTCCAATCTTATATTGTCCAGTGTTGGTGAGCCTGTGTGAATTGTAGCCTCAGTTTCCTGTTGTTAGCTGACAGGAGTGGCACCTGGTGTGGTCTTCTGCTGCTGTAGCCCATCTGCTTCAAGGTTGGACGTGTTGCTGCTTCAGAGATGGTCTTCTGGTTATTTGAGTTACTGTTGCCTTTCTATCATCTTGAACCAGTCTGGCCATTCTCCTCTGACCTCTGGCATCAACAAGGCATTTTCACCCAGAGAACTGCCGCTCACTGGATATTTCCTCTTTTTCGGACCATCCTCTGTAAACCCTAGAGATGGTTGTGTGTGAAAATCCCAGTAGATCAGCAGTTTCTGACAGACAAGCCCATCTGGCACCAACAACTAAGCCCCGTTCAAAGTCACTTAAATCACCTTTCTACCCCATTCTGATGCTCGGTTTGAACTTAGGCAGGTTGTCTCAATCATGTCTACATGCCTAAATGCATGGAGTTGCTGCAACGTGATTGGCTGATTAGCTATTTGTGTTAGCGAGCAGTTGAACAGGTGTACCTGATAAAGAGGCCAGTGAGTGTATTGCTCAGTCTTACTTTGGCCTATAAGAAAATAAATACAAGCATTTGTTCATCTATAATTTACACATACATCTCTTACAAGAAATTACAGGGTGTTTTTAATGTCTGATGTCTTAACACACATCTCCAGAGACACAGATCAGGTTTATCAATCACAAGTTTATTGAAACCACTGAAACAATGTCATGTCTAAATATGTTTCTTCTGAGGTTTCCACATCTGATCATGTAAATCATTCTCGGAGCACTGATGTTTTATAACAGTATTTTTTTCTGATGTCATCCCAACATGTTTCACATAGATCCATCACTCTGCCCGACAGGATCTTGTGAAAGGTGACAGATCACATCTGATATGCTGTACGATGATGTACACGTGCTGTTGTCCTGTTTATGAAAAGCAGCAAAGCATAACCACAAAGATTCTATGCATTAAATATGTGCTTTAGTTAATGAAAAGAAAGCAGTAGAGACATAAAGATTAAACAATATTCTGTTGCTCTTTGTTTAACATGTAATAAAGATTTGCTCCTATCAGGAATATTACATCGGGATTCTACTAAAGTAGTTTGGCAAAGAGGAGTAAAAGGCTTCTGTGCAAGGCTTGCATGGCGCAACACGGTCAATCAAAACCAGGCCTTGCTTCAATACTAGTCCCTTATGTTATCGAGCCTCTGACATGTCTACTGCCCTCTTGTCGCTGTAAACATTATATTAGATAATGAGTGCATTCAAAGACGGCTAATGAACCATTTCATTAGTTAGCATACAAAAGGCTTGTGAAGCAGGTTAGCTTTGAGGTAAACAAAGAATATAAAAGTGACATATGAGACTAGAGGATAGTGAATCAATCAGCACAAGAAAACCACTGATGGCTCAAGCGCACTGAAGTTGTATGGCTTACATAGTCGGGACATGTTGTCATCTAAAGTAGAAGTGAATTCACTTTTATGTTTCAGGCTGCAGACAAGCGTTGATAGCAACCCATTTCTGCCAGTGTGATGAAAACAAAGAAAAAAATTGAAAGTCATTATAATGGAAGTCTCACAAAAAAGAAACAAAATCAAAATAATGACTTTGTATCTGAAATTAATGATATTGAAAAAAATGAGTTAGTATCCTGAAATGCTGACTCAGTATATGGAAATAATGAATTAATATCTCGAAATATTGACTCAGTATCTGGAAATGATGAGTATCTCAAAATAATGACTCAGTATCTGGAAATAATGAGTTAGTATCTTGAAATAACTAAAACTCTCTCAAAAATAATGAGTTAGTATCTAAAAATTCTAAGAACATAAAAAATGACTTAGTATCTAAAAAAATAACTCAGTATCTGAAAATAATGAATTAATATCTCAAAATATTGACTCCGTATATGGAAATAGTAAGTTACTATCTCAAAATAATGACTCAGTATCTGAAAATAATGAGTTAGTATCTCAAAATAATGACGCAGTATCTGGAAATAGTGAGTTAGTATCTAAAAATAGTGAGTTAGTATCTAAAAATAATGACTCTCTAGAAATAATGAGTTAATATCTCAAAATAATGACTCAGTATCTAGAAATAATGAGTTAGTATCTGGAAACAATGACTAAGTATCTGGAAATAATGAGTTAGTATCTCGAAATAACAAAAACTCTCAAAATAATGAGTCTGTCTAAAAATTCTAAGAAACATAAAAAAATGACTTAGTATCTCAAAAAAATAACTCAGTATCTGAAAATAATGAATTAATATCTCAAAATATTGACTCAGTATCTGGAAATAATGAGTAAATATTCGAAAAAATTACTCAGTATCTGGAAATAGTAAGTTACTATCTCAAAATAATGACTCAGCATCTGGAAATAGTGAGTTAGTATCTCAAAATAATGATTTAGTATCTAGAAATAATGAGTTGGTATCTCAAAATAATGATTTAGTATCTAGAAATAATGAGTTGGTATCTCAAAATAATGACTCAAGATCTGGAAATAATTAGTTAATATCTCAAAACAATGACTAAGTATCTGGAAATAATGAGTTAGTATCTCAAAATAGTGACTCAGTATCTAGAACTAATGAGTTAATATCTCAAAATAATGACTCAGTATCTGGAAATAGTGAGTTAGTATCTCAAAATAATGACTCAGTATCTAGAAATAATGAGTTAGTATCTCAAAATAATAACTCAGTATCTGGAATAATTAGTTAATATCTCAAAACAATGACTAAGTATCTGGAAATAATGAGTTACTATCTGGAAACAATGACTCAGTATCTGGAAATAATGATTGAGTATCTGGAAATAATGAGTTAATATCTCAAAATAATGACTCAGTATCAGGAAATAATGAGTTAGTATCTAAAAATAATTAAAACCCTTCACAAAATAATGTGTTAGTCTCACGAAATGATGACTCAGTATCTGGAAATAATGACTTTGTGTCTCAAAATAATAAAAAACGTTCTCGAAATTACGAGTTAGTACGTCAAAAATATTAAGGAATGTTCTTAAAATAATAACTTAGTAACTAAAAAAAGAAAAACTTTCTCAAAATAATAAGTTTGCATCTGAAAATAATGAAACTATCTTAAAAATTTGACTTAATACCTCAACGTAATAAAATTTTTCCAAACACAGACTTAATATCCTTGGGATAATGACACTAATTCATTATTTTTCAAAAAAATAGTCATTATAATGACTTACAGGATCTTTTGCTTTCATCACACAGGTGGAAATGGGCTTCTTTATGCACCTGTTTGGAAACAGCCTGATTGTGGGTCTGTTCAAACACATTACTGGTCAGATATTCCCAAATAAAGCCTTCACATGCAGCATCAGAGAACTCAGCCACCTTCTGAACACCTTAGTTACCTGTCTGATGTTGAAAATGTAACAATGAGCTTACTAACTTCTATCAGTAACTCACACCTTATCTTAAGACTGCATGTGAAGATTGTGCTACATATGGATTTGTCTCCTGTTGAGTGTGCTTAACGACTACTTGTGTCAGTTCGTAACACTCTGAAGGAAATTTGCAAGCAAGGTACTGACTCCAGACCACTTTGCGTAGCCTTGACAAGCCTGCGAGCCACTGTCAGCGCATAACAGGACAGATGCCACATCGAGATCCATGCAGCCATACTCAGCAGTTGCCAGCAGCGGGCCATGAAATGCACAATGAACAGTATTTAAAGTTCATCACCAAGGTACAGCGAGGAAATACTGCAAATGTTCTAGTGTGATGACACCACAAGCACAGTCAGGTAAGCAATCACAACACAGAGATGTGTTGAAGTACTGCACAGACATCTGAAAGTACTGCAGAGAGCTGGTTTGTTTCCAGTAGCTGCTCTGTTCTTCGCTCAGTATAGTAAGTTCTCAGTGAATCAAAAGACACGTTTATGGTTTCAGTACAAAGTGTTCACTCCACAACATGTACCGTAACAACAGTCATGGAAAGCTAAAAGATTACGTAATATCCCGTTTTTAAACCTAACTTTTGTTTTCTTTTCCTCGGCCCTCTAACGAGAAACTTTGGTTAATAATAATGTGTGTTTCTTTTCTACGTACACTCTCTACATGTTAAATAAGACTCAAGAAAGCAAGTCCACACATTTGGTCATTTCATTACTTCATTTGACTTTGCCTTGTCTTGTTCTTCAAAATAAAATTCTAAGTTTGACCACTGGAGAGAATAAAGGCCCATTTATGCTCAACGTTAAATACAGATCCGGATATGGACAGAGCCTTCTGTCCATGCTCCGCGTTCATTTTGTCCGTATTTCTGCACGTTTCCATAAAGCTTACGGATACGGGCTGAACGGAGAAGTACCACCAGAAACCGTGGGGGCAGTGTTGCTGCCATCCTGAAGTCCTGGAAATGATGCTTGTCATCAATTTCTCTCATCAGCAGTACTATAGGCTTGGTCTTTTATGCAGGAGGTACATTATCAATATCTCCCCCACAGTCGCCATGTTTGTTTTTGAGTTTGTTGTTGGCAAACTTTTGACTCTGGGCTTCCCCCTGGTGGATATATTGGTTAACATCCATGCCAACGTAAAGGACACATGGAAGTACGTGGGCAGTGATAGTAACATCGTTTGAAACGGACATATACATTTTTGGACATAAAGGGAGCATAAATGGGCCTTAAGGAGAAATGCAAAACTGAGCTGTCTGTACTATCAGCCACTCTCTGTCATTTTTGTTAATTATTGTTTTTTGGATACATCCTGCGTTTATTTTATGTAAAAGGTTGCAAACTTGTCATGATGAAGTGTCATCTGCTCAGGGTAAATGCTGAGAGCAAGTACGAACTAGGATAGAGGTGTTCAGTTGTGCGTAGCATGAGGCACTGATCTGTGCTTCTGTCTGAATCTCTGTAACCGTCCAGCCAGTCTACTGAGTCTTCCACACGTTGTTGAGTAGTTTGTACACCTCCTCGTAGATGACAAAGACTATGGCAACATCCAGGCATACGCGGCCAAGCCGAGGAACTGTTCCTTTGTAGAACCTGGGGATAAGATGAGATGAGGTCAGATGGTTTGTCTACAGTAGTAAAAACTGAACAGCTCACAGCATTTATCTGGATCAGGGTTACTCACGCCTGTGGTCCTTCCTGCTTCAAGATCTGGAAGGCGCAGTCCACTGTGTTTTTGTAGCGGTGGGCCTCCAAACCCTGCAGAAACAGTGTGTGTTAAAAAGGGCAAACTTGATGACAGTAATAAAATGGTCACAGGGTTGTTCCTACCTGCATCCTGGTCTTCACCACATCCAGAGGTGTATTTCCAAAAACACTTGCTGCTCCCGCCGTCGCTCCAAACATTGCTGTGACAATTGGGTGCATGTCTCGCCTGGGGTCATCGCCTTAGAGGCCAAATCCAAAAGTTGGTTACACGGAGAATAAAGGAAATAGGAGGAGAATGTACAATGCATTGGATGGAAAACAGGGACATCATATTTTGTTTTGTAGCCAGTAAGCTTTCTCACCTTTGTACCAATTGCGCAGCGCATTCATCACATAGAATCGGATGGCCTGATTGGTTCCTTGTTTCAGCACAGTTGCTGTCAGACCTTGATACGTCCCCCTCACACCTAAATGAGTCACACATGTTTCTTTATAGAGCTCAAACCATCCATAAACTTTGTGTCAATCCTGATATTCTAGTGTGCGCTGGAAGTTTTTGAACTCTTGACTCAAAACATCCATATTGATAGTTACAGACTCAGTTATCATTACCGGTAGCCAATAAAAAGGAGCAGGGCCAAAGTGACAACTCAACAAAAGATGCTGCACATACTCCAAACTGTTTGTGTCATGTTGACCCACCCTGCTCTCTTACCCTGTTCTCTGATTATCTCACTGACTCCATGGAAGAAGCCCCTGTAGCGAGGTCTGAGGGAACACTGATCATGGATCAACTTCACCTGGAGGACATGGGAAGAACCACCTTGTCAGTTTATGCAGATCATTGCTGACAAAAGCTTCCTGCAGTCAAAGAAATCCAGCTCCACCGACCTTGAGCGTCTCCATGGGGCAGACAACGATGACTGCCTCCGTTATACCTGCTCCTAAACCACACAAGAGGCTTCGCGTGTTGTCTAAGCGACCTGTGGCATCTCGCATTGGGTTGCTGAGCATCTCAAACGTGCCAAACCTGTGAAAATAGGAAGGTGATGCATTCAAGAACAAGGGTCAAAATAAACATCAACAGACGAACAGTTGTGTGATGGATTCCACTGTTACCAATAGTTTGTTCATTGACCAAATTAGAATTTTCTTAATGGTCAGTGAGCCAACTCTACTAAGTTTGTAAGTAGCATAGCATAGTCGATTAATTGGGTAGTTGATTGACTTTTGATTGGATTTTGTAAGCATTTGATGGTTCCATATTCTTAAACTTGAGAATTACCTTCTCTCTCTTGTTTTGACATCAAAGTTTAGTACATTCTTTACATTTTGGACAGTTGATTGGACAAAACAAAATATAATTTAATGAGATCTTGGAAATTGAAGAGACTGCATTATAGACATTAGACATTATTACGACTCATCCTTTGTCAGTGAAGATTCTCAGTCATCCAGGTCATGATAATCTTAAGAGCTATAACATAGGCACGTGGGTTTGCTTGAGTTTCTTGAGGACATTTCACCTCTCATCCAAGAGGCTTCTTTAGTTCTAACAGACTAGAGTGGAGCTGCAGGCTTTGAACTCTCTGTTCTTGTGAACCCTTACAGAGTCGTTGAGGAATGCAGCCTTGGGATCCCTCCCCAGACGACTTAACACTCATTCACACCTGGACTCATCAAACCCAAACGACACATAATTGCCGGGTGGGTCAACGGCACACATGTGACCTCAACGACTCTGAAAGGGTTGCGACCTGAACTAAAGAAGCCTCTTGGACGAGAGGTGAAATGTCTTCAGGAAACTTAAGCAAGTCCAGTTGCCAGTGATATAGAACTTAAGAGACTCATCCCTTGATTTTCAACTCACACAAAGCATAGCATTGCATACTGCACTATGATTTTTGTTTGTGAATGAAATGATCTTTGGTATCATATTTATGTAATAGAAATGTATTGATTTGTGGCACATTCTTTAAATAACAAACTTCTTAATCTTTGGGTTTAGGGGAAGTATTTTCAAGTCAAAAGGCTCACGTCCAAGTTAATTCCCAAGTCACTGGTGTTTAAGTCCAAGTTGAGGTGCAATTCTTTAATGATTTTGTCAGTCTAAAGTCTCAGATTTGTGATTCGAGTCTGACTCGGTTTGAAGACATGTCACTCGAGTCCACACCTCTGACAATTAGTCAGTAATTTAAGAAAATACAACATTTTGGCTGCCTTAAACTTAGGTACCAAGAAATGCTGTGTCACTGCTTTGATGTCACTCAGATGTTAAATTAATTTCAAGTTTACAACCCTACTGATCTGTGATGCATAAACCAAAAGGATGCATGAGGCAAACTGCAGCTCCATTCTCTTTAGTAAAATAAGAAGTGCAAAAAAGCTGTACATTAAAAGCTACTGTGCATCTTTACCTCACTGCAGACTTGGGTATTGATCCATAAAGCAGGGAGCTGAGACCGCGATACAACCCTCTGAGCCCATGATCCTGCACAGTCAACTTCACACAGTCACCTGCACACACACACACACACAGATCATCCAGGAGTGAGTAACCCAGCAGAAGACTAGCACACCATCGTGCAGCCAGGCAGCAGTCATACATGTCCCAGTGACCTACCAATCCCTCTGTATCGCGGCGGGTTGGCTCTCTCATCTAGCTGCAGCTGGGTCTTGACATACTCTGTGGGGAATGTGATACAGATCTCTATTCCTCCTGCAATGCCACCTGGGTATAGGAAGCAGAGAAACATGGCTGTGAGGATTTGTTGACTCATTGTGCAGAATTGTTCCTGAATGTTCTGCGAGGGAGAGGAGCTGGCCGTCATTTCTATACCACTTTAAAAACCTGCGATAGATTAAATTCAGAGTGGTGCTGATGCTTGATCATGTCAGGCATATATCTGTGTTTTAATTAAATGCTAATGTGGTGTGATTACACAGCAGTGCCTCCTCCGAGCTGTAAGAAAAGCTGAGATCTACTGAATGTATATCTGCCTCTAATCATTACAGCATCAACCTTATAGGATATTGATAGATGGTTTTAGATTCATTAAAATGAATAAAATGTGAAGGCAGTAAAGAATAAATGCAGAAAAGACACCATACTACTACATCATGCAAATGCTGTAGCATCACTGCTGGCCAAGTGCGTTTTGACCCAGTTCTGCATGGATAGCCTTAATGGGCGACAGACTGAGATTAGACTGTGTTGTGCAGAGTGCAATAGACGACTATGAGGGGGGGGCAGTCTGCGAGGCTGGATGAATATCTGCAAAATCAACCTGCAAGGATGGCCTTTCCAGGATGGGTGATCTTCCTCCCTCCGATTGCAGCAGCCGCCAGGTTTCTCCTCGCCGCGTACGACCGCTGGTGGGTCGGCAGAGAGCCCAGCCCCGCCGCGGCAGCTGCGGCTGCCAGACGCTGCGATGAAGGCTGCCGATGAGGAGCTGAGCTCGGGCATCCTCTCCTCACACCGCAGCTCTCGCACGGTCCTTCACACACTGAAAAAGGCTTGAGCAACGAAGACATTTCGATCGTCTAGTCCGGTTATGGAAATCTCCTACCGTAGCGACGGTCCCTCGGACAATGTCAGACAACAACAACACTGGGGGGTGGCGGCAGGGGGAGCATCAATATTCAAATAGCGGTCAGGTGATGGGGCAGGCCATTGGCTCACCATGCTGCCTAATGTCATTAGTCAGTCACGTGATCATGCATGACTTTTGGCCACCAATAACGTGGAGGATGCTGCTCGGGTAATGTCTAGTCTGACCCTCACTGTCAAGTGCTTTGGTATACCACAACATTACATCATTTAGGGAGTGTTACTTATCAGAGGAGGGGTGTGACTTTGATTTTTTTGCTTCAATATTGTTCCATGAGCTTTCCTGAATGACTGGCAGAAAATACATGACCCTCGCTCCACCATAAATTAGGATGCTTTCATACCTGCCCTGTTTGGTTCGGTTCAGTTGAGCTCAAGTTTATTCACCCCGGAGTGACATTTGTTTGAGCAGGTGTGAACACAGCAATTGCACTTGGGTTCACACCAAAACAACCAGACTGGGACCTTCTTGAAGAGGTGGTCTCCATCCGATTACAAATGAACTCTGGTGCGGTTCGTTTGTGGTGAGAACGTGTTCCGACCTCGATCCGAACCAACTGCAGTCACATGACACATTGTTTGGGTTAAACATGACCATGTTACAGTCCTGGAGGATTATTAATGTGCACTTCCTCCTGTACTGCCTTAATATGCACATTCGGCACATCCAGTTGGGTGCATGTCTCATCTGGGGTCGTCACCTTAAAGGCCAAATCCAAAAGTTGGGTACATGGAGAATGGAAGGAAATAGGAGGAGAATGCATCAATGCGTTGGATGGAAAAAGGAAGACTGGGCAAAAAACAGGGACATCAGATTTTGTTTCGCAGTCTGTAGGCTTTCTCACCTTTGTACCAATTGCACAGCACATTCATCCCATAGAATTAGATGGCCTGATTGGTTCCTTGTTTCAACACAGTCACTGCCGGACCTTAATACATCCCCCTCACACCTAAATGAATCAAACAGTAAATACAAAATACAATCATTTAAATGTGTATCCCCCCCTCCCCTAAGCCAAAACTATAAAACGTAAGTCCCTCCCTAGTGCTCAAAAAAATTATTTGACATGCCTTCCCCTTTTTGCCCCCCTTAGTACCAAAAGTAACAGTATTGTTTAATTTTGCTTTAATAAAATATTAACAATATACCTTTTCTCATCAGCCATTTCGATTTATGACATGTACTATCTAAATAAAGGTTTACATCAGCCTATAAAGGGCCATTTAGCATTATTACACACATTAAAATAGGTATGATAGATGATGTTGTAATTGCAGCCAAGTCACATTGAAAAAAAAGGACAAGGTTCAAGGATATAGGTCTGAAATAAAACATAACAAAAGCCATAAATTATATAACAATATACAAAAATCTTTGTAAAGAGACTAAACCTAGGGTCATATATGCCAAATATATGCTTAATACAATGCCTAATAATACACAGCACATTAGAAGTGCAAGTTAAGGATACAGTGCATTGGATCATACATTATATTCACATCAAAAATTGAAGTATGCAGAGGTATGTATCATGTGTGTACAAGTATGTAATAATAGTAAGACACTGTGGCATCATTATACAGAGATTTACACTAATACTTAAACTCTGAGAGCCGTGTAATATTGTAATAACAATAATAATTAGAAGATATCAAATGAATAAGATTAAAACCATGCAATAGTCTCATGTATCACGACCCACACAATTAAGAGTTTGGTTTATTGCTGCTGCCCTCTAATCCTTGTTCCCTTAAATAGTGCTCTGGACATGCCAGAGCACACACATGCACACACACACACTGCCTCCCCCAATCACCCTTCACAATGAAACTAGGTCAGTGTTTCCACCCACAACCCCCACCCCTCTGAGGAAACCATAGACACACTGAGAGAGAGCCAGTCAGTGTCAAAACTCCAAACTACAACGACCAATTGTTCTTCTTTTGGTTAATTGGTTGTAAAAAATGATGAATTTCATGCTTCATTCTTTTTATTGTATTTTTCAGCAACAAATTGTCTACAAGCACACAAACGTGTGATCAGACTTGAGCGAACAAATCCAGTTCAGTAGGGAGAAGCAGGTAGGAAGACAGTACTTCCTCCAGCTGGTCTTCTGCTCGCCAGCCTCAGGATTTGCAACAAAGGAGAGACTCCACACACTAATGGAAGGTGACAAAAGGTGTTTATTAGACTAAGCATAAAAACTCAGCATCAGTAGTGTAAATCGTGTGTGAATGAGTGACGTATTGATGGTTGGAGTAAAGCAAAGTAACAAAAACAAACTAAGCAACAGAGAAGGCCATGTGGAAGGCGTCTTGACAGCTCAGCAAAAAGGGGGAGACTCCTAGGCTGGCAGCCAATTTGTATCCTTAGGTGTCTCTCTCTCCAGGTCTGGCCAAAGAACAGTGACAGACCTCTTGGCTCTCCTGGAAGACAAACAACTGGACAGAACTAGAGATACAGAGGGAGGCCGTCACAGTATAGGCCCATATATCCCAGAGTGTGTGCAGGTTCAGGCAGTATATCCTTCTCCAGATGCTCACACACCTTATTCAGCTCCAGCAGCTCTTCATCCAGTGACTGGTTGCAGACAGTTGCTCAGGTCCAGGGTCAGTTACAGCAGACAGTTAAGATAAATGTTACAGACACTACACTGACATCCCACATCTCCCACTTGCTCAAACCCCTTCATTGCCATTCTCCACCTGTCCACCTGATGCCCCCAGACTTTTCCACTCGTCCCATGCTGCGTTTCATTAGTAGTAGCACTCTACCTCATTCACTTTGCCTCAGCCCTTGGTATTGAGGGGAGGACTGGGGAATTTAAATGGAACGCACCTACCCTCATGCTCGAATGCCAAGTGTAGGCTGAGGGCTGTACTGCTCATTACAAATCATCAGAAATACCTGGAGGCTAATTTCAAAGTGGTGAAGGCATCTTCTGTGGATTATTGAATATGTCAGCACTTGGTAATCAGCTGCATCACTTTCTGATTTAGACATTTTTGTTCGTGATGTGAATCATGATATTATTACTATTATTGCTACAAGTTTATGACATCTTGCAACGCAGCAATTTTCTGTGCATTTACAGAGAATGTTTAGAATAAAGATAGTGATGGCTCAAGGGTTTATGTTTTTGATAAAAGGACAACTTCACAGTGACATCATAATGTTCTGCAAAAACGCTTTTCTAGCCATTATTCAACGTCATAACTCAGGAGCAGAAGAGGTGAACTTTGGCCAGATACTGAATTGGTGACACAACTTTTTCAATTTGTTCATCCTCTGCTTCTTTAGTGGTAAGCAACTGGAGTGTCATGTACAGTACTGCCACGTGACCATGAAGGTATTTTGGTATAACAACCTCTGAAATGACCATCGTTGCTCTCTCAGCACTCCAAGGGTCGATCTCACCAATGTCACCTCAGTTTTTCAGACAAATGAAACGGCACTAATGATGGCGGCAAGGATTCGCCCCAAGGACCGAGGATGAGTCAAGAGGAGCATGTTGAACAACTAATGAAGCAGCCCCAGTCACCTGACCTTCCCCGCCCACCTGCTCGCCTGTTTCCACTTTAAATCATCAGCCCTGCTCTTTTTGCCCCTTCATTGCCAGATAGTCAAAGTTGCTTGTTGCCTTTTGACCCACTGGAACCTGAACCTGACCTCTACTCTGACCCTTTAGTTGTACCTGCCTGTGAGCCCATACATTCACTTTGACAGGAAATTATTGGACTGTATAAATGATCCCTGTCTGCCTTGATTGTCTGCGTTTGGGTTCTCCCCCCATCGCCTCATTTATTGAGAACTACTTTTAACTTTTTACTTTCCAAATGTCAGCAAATCACACCAGAACCTCCTAAAATAATAAACTGTATGTCACATAATGTGTCCCTGGTTAAACGTTCACTTTAACACCATCTCTCATTGTGTCTCATCGCTTTATGATGCCTGCTCACCTCAACACTTTGTCTGTACCGAGGCAGCATGTGACAGGAGAGGCTTGGCGCTCCAGTTTTCGTGGGGGTAGTAGAAAGCTGTCATGGTATTTTCTGTCAGGGAAATCTCAGGCAGCAGTTTCAATGTGAGCCGCTCAGTGTTGATGATTTGGTCAACTGATCAACAAGTTGTCCATGAGACACCACACACCACCTTGACAGAGAAGATGAAGCAGAGACAGAAATGAACAAAGGAAACCTGAGGGGGTTTCATTTTCACCAGTGGTACCTTATTTTTTCTTCACTTTTTGCTCTGTCAGCATGTGCTCACATCCAGGACTCTTACACAGACCTCACAGCACCTACACTATTATCTTGCCAAGAGGAACACTTCACTGGCATGTGTCCTTACACTCAGCTCCCCAGAGATGACATCTATGATTTTTCAATGATAGCCTTCAGTGCTATCACACTTCAGCCACCTGTGTAATCAGTTAAGGAGTTTTCTTTGGGGAAAGTCCACTGGACTAATGGCTGAGTCCCGCCTGGCAATTCAGCAAATAACACTAATCTATTTATTTTTTGCTTACCTGTTCATGGGGCTCATTCAAAGTGCAGTGCAGTGAAAATGTTTGCAGGGGGGTTGACATTTCTCCATCCTTGCTGTCTGTGCTGGAGTGCAGGAATAACGCTGGCTCAGGCTGGTTAGGCCTAGCAGATGGTGAGAATGAGGAGCACGCTGGAGTAAAGATGGACTTGTACATCACGATTAAAGAACCCTTTCAAGTCCGAAGAAGAGAGGGTAGGACCACCTTGTCTGAGAATGTAGGTGGAAAGCAGCTCCAGACCTTGACCATTAAAGGATCAGGAATCAGAATTGGACCACATTTTTTAAGTGTGCTCAGCTGATGAGATCTTACTTCTTTCTTTATCACTGGCATTTTGGTGATGCACCTGTGTCAGTGAAATGTTCAGTTTGGAGAGATGTCAGCTGAAGTCTGATGGGGGATTAATTGGGGTACTGAATTGTATAATCCAAGATTTGTTTTAGACAGGCCTTAAAGGTCCAGTATGTAGAATTTAGGGGCATCTATTGGCAGTAATAGTATATAATATTCATAACTATGTTTTCATTCTTGTATAATCACCTGGAAATAATAATCCTGTTTTCATTTCCTTAGTATGAGTCATTTATATCTACATTCAGAGCCAATTCACTTCCAAGTTGTCCGCCAGGTTGTCCTGCAGTCGCCTAAGATGGACAATCCAAACAGTGGCTCTAGATAAGGCCATTCGTGTTTATGTGTCGGCCACTGTAGTTCTCCTACACTCTTGGCACAAAGGAGAGATTTCAGTTCTGCAACCTCACCGCTAGCCACTACAAAATCATACACAGTGGACCTCCATGGAAACACTCTCCTTTATCTGGTAAGCTCAGAAAATAGTTTGCCGATGCTTTGCTCCAGTCCCAAGGACCTACTTGAAAAAGACACACACCTCCACCTTCTTCAGCTGGACCCCCAAAGAGCAGACATTGGCAAAATCAGAGTAGTATTCAGACTGCCTGAATCTAGACAGCCGACCACTGAAGTGTAATAGTGGGGGCACCAGAGAGAGGGAGAACGCATGACATTGTGCTAGTGGTGGCAAACCAGGTTTGCACTCCTGCGATCACCAAACACGTGGCGCAAGCACACATCAGGAAGTGACCCCCAACTGCTCACTGAGCTACAGGCACGACCTGCATCACTGAGATCTTCACCCAACTCTTCTTAAACTGTCTTCTCCATCAAAGCTCTCCTACAGAGTGCCGTCTTTTCTATTTTGCAATGGCACAAGTGCCTCCTCCATTTTTGTTTCTTTTTTCCCCACTGCCACAGATAGTTACGTATTGGATTTCAAGAATGGCGAACACCTGCCAGAGGGTTTTATCTCAGCCTGGCAACCCTAAATGTGTTCTATAAATAATCTACAAAGCATTCGCATATGACTTATCTATTAACAAAGCCATTAGTCACATCAGTCACATTTCTGATGGCATTAGCTTTAAGGTCCAGCGTGTAGGATTTAGGGGAATTTAGTGGCAACTAGCCGTGAGGAAGACCTGTTCCCCATGTAGATATAAAGGGCCAATATATCCCCCAAGATCCTACACACTGGACCTTTAAAGTAAATATGTGGAATCACTGATAACTGTTTTTGAGGATTTGTTTTTTTGCCAATATTGTCCTTTTCCTGTGAAAATGTTCCTCTTTTTATTCTCTGTTTCTGCAAAGAGAGGCTCCAGTTGCAATAGAGAGAAAGAGTATTTAATTTCATATATAAAAAGACAGTCTGATTTTATACACATGCATGTTATTTGTACTGACACATCATTAAACATATCACAGAAATTACACAAAAGTCAAAATGAAATAAGGGATGGACATGGCTAAGCTTAGGTGTAAACAGACAGTTGTTTACGAGCAGAAAAGAGATATTGCACATGACTTTTAGGTGCAAAGTACTTCCTGAGAGCACTAATACAGAGATGAGACGGCAACATTTTTAAGTACAAGCAACATTTTTGTTTGGTGATGACTCCTTTTATTTCTTTAAGTTCCTCAGCCCTTCAAACAGTAGACACTTGGCCTGTGCAGAGAGAAACAAAACAGTCAGAGGCTCTGGGGTAAACAGAGTGACAAAAGACTGTGGTATGTTTTGTGGAGACTGTGAGCTTACATGTCTCTATTTATGTCTGTGTCTGTGTTTATGCCAACCTCGTGCCAGCGCAGTGTGTCAGGGGGCAGCCCCAGATGGCAGTGCGGGCAGGTGTGTGTCTGATCAGGCGCTTCATGGTTCCTTTGCCCCCGGCAGGGCCCCTCACTGCCCCACAGGGGGCGACACGTGGAACGGGAGGACCAAGCTACACCAAAGTGAGGCCGAGGGTCTGTCTGGTAGCTCACTTTCTGACCGCTAGAGGGCGCTGGTGACACAGGATCAGAGTCTTCCTGCAACACAGCATAGCAGCAGATTGTAGGGATCTGGATCTCAGGGACAAACACTGGTTTGTGTTGTACAACTAAGAAAAAAAGGCAACAGAAAATAAACTTGGCAAAAGCCGCAAGTTGCTGCAGTGTCGGGTCTCTCACTGTCAAAGTTGCCTTATCACACCTGAGCCATCGGGTGAATTGATAAGCCTCGGTCACTATCAACCATCCTAAAAGAAAGTAGGAACTTGCATATTTACAAGAGGCCCAGCTCCTCTCCTTTAGCCTTTTTTCCCTCCATCCAGGACACTGAACACAAACGCTGCCTGACACGTGAACTCAACATCACCAAGTACGCCACACACCCCCACCATGGACTGTTCTCCCTGCTGGCCTCTGTAAAGAGGTACCGCAGCATCAGGAGCAGAACAGCCAGGTTTTGCAACAGCTTCATCCCTCAAGCCATCAGACTTTTGAACTCCAAGAGATGATTTCCCTCTCACACACCACCCACTTATACTGAACTCAGTCAATAACCCCCTTCTCACTCTCTCACTGATCTCTAGTTTGAGCCTGATGGACTTTAATTAGTCTTTGCAATGTACATTTTTATATTCATCTTTATAGTCAAATGCAGCAAATTTTATTAAAGTCCTTTACTATGGTGAGCTTACACCTTCTCGGCACAGATCAAAACCCAACTTTTGTTGTCACACCTTTCAGGTTTCCTTTAATCACAACCTATGGGTCTCAGTTGTTTCTTTTTGGCACTGACAAAATCTCTCTGAGAGCTTTCATCCTCATATTGGCCCAACATGGCACCTACCCGTTTGGCTCTAAGCCCTCGTAATGGAAAAATGACTTCTGAAAAATATTAATAAATGTATGAACGTGTGCATGATATATTTCAGCCACACATGGTATTGCATGTCTGAAATATGAATAATTTATTTCATACAAACTCTGTCTGGTACACTTGTCTTCTTCTCACTGAGCCTTTGCTGTGTAAAAGTATTGTCCCTTTGAAGCATTTTAACTCCAGTTGATACACACATACACTCTTTTGTTACTATGAATTTGTATGACTGAAAGTTTTTGTTTTTAACCACACTTTTTCCTCTGATCTCATTAGGTAACAGATTAAAAAGCTCAAGGTTAATTTCAGAAAGGACTATATTAATTCCTTGTGAGATCAGGATGCTTTTTGTTCTATATTTCCTTAAAATGGCAACATTTCTAATGTTATTTTTGATTGCATCAAGAGAGTGGAAAAGAGTAACTATAATATATAGTGGGCAAGAGACACTTACCCTCTGATATTCAAATATGCTCAAATGTCTCCCGCCAATATATTGATAAAAAAGAATTTGCCATGCTACAACAGATAACTACTCATCCCCATCCTAAATAATCATTGCATAATCATTCATTCATTCACTCATCTTCTAACTGCTTCATCCTCTTGAGGGTTGCGGGGGGGCTGGAGCCTATCCCAGCTGACATCGGGCGAGAGGCAGGGTACACCCTGGACAGGTCGCCAGACTATCGCAGGGTTGACACATAGAGACAAACAACCATTCACACTCACATTCACACCTATGGATAATTTAGAGTCACCAGTTAACCTAGTCCCCAGTCTGCATGTCTTTGGACTGTGGGAGGAAGCCGGAGTGCCCAGAGAGAACCCATGCTGACACAGGGAGAACATGCAAACTCCGCACTGAAGGGCTCCCACGTCTGGGATCGAACCGGCAATCCTCTTGCTGTGAGGCGAGAGTGCTAACCACCACACCACCGTGCCGCCCATTACATAATCATAATCATGAATAAACATTTTCATCCCTACAGGTTCTGAAAACACTTCACTTAATAGTGTTAACATCAAAATGTAATTTTGTGTTGGGTCTGTAATTATGGAAATAAATAACCTTTTGTTAACAAGTGTCAATAGTATGGAGTGGAAACAAATATTTTTTGGTGAAACGGGGCTGATTATAAGTGCTAGCCCTGTGCCCAGTGGATCAGTTTCGGCCTATTCGGGACCACATTAATATGCTGATGAAGAATTATGTATTATGTTTATATGAATATTTCCCTTTATTACTATTGCAATCATTATAACTATTAACTTTACTCTATACAACATTACTCTGTTATTTGCGTTTGCCTGCTCGCCCACTTCTGTACGAACTCCTTTTTAATGCACATTTGTGTGTATGTGTATGCTTGTCATGTATTACATTTGTGGAGATGTTTGTGGGTTTGTTTATGTATTGTATATGTGTGTATGTTATGGTCCTTGCTTTGGAGGAATCAGTTAACATGCCAACGAGTCTAAATTGGTGGGAGGCTTAGCCATGACTATGTGACCCCCAGATATGTATATGTGTACCATGCTGTGTGTTGCTGTGTGTTGTGTATGTTATTTGTCAAAAAAGTAATAGTGATAATAATATTTTGTTAAAAAGTGTCTGTAGCATGGAGTGGAAACAAATGGTTTTTGGAGAAAATGAGCTGATATACAAGTGCCAATCAACCATCATTAATGTTAACTGCTATAGTTAAGTTATCTGCAGTTAATTAGCCACAGATTCAGCCAGTGACCAAATATGGTGCTCACAGGAGTGTTTAACTATTTTAAATGTCTTATTATATTTGTCAGATTGCCCATCAGAAGTTAGATTAATGTGTCGCTAATTTATGTTGTGCTGCATGTGTAATTGTAGACAGTTGTTGCTTTAATTTATTGCATATTAGTATAGCATATATGTACTTGCTTATGATAAATAATACAAAGGGAAATAGGTTTTCAGAATTTGAGGGGGTTTTTCTTGGGGTTTCCCCTCCAGTGTTGACTTCATGACTACAGCTTTGAATTTCAAGTAGGAGTTTAAGAGGTTGTCGATTTGTGTTTGCAAAATGAAGAAAATTAGTTTACATAGCTATTTAGAGGAACAACTTTTTCCACTTTCCTGTGTGTTTAGTCAGAAAATGTTTGAACCTGTTGAGGAGTTTCAGGACGATACTCCGAGTCAAGAGACCTCAGGCAATACCAGCAGGGTTCAGACGGCCGATCTGTGAGGACACAAACATAAATGGTGACACAGCTTTTTAGTGAATGGCCGCACCTGAGCATGTACTGGTTACAGACACAACTTAAGGTTCCATATATCCGTCATGTATGTGTGTGTGTGACTTACTCTGTGTGTTGGAGGGATGAGATGACACTTGATGACTCTCTTCCTCTGTTGGCAGGGGGGACAATGGGAGGCAGTCGACATCGTCCTGTGTGTGTGTGGTTGTCAGAGACTCCTGTGGTAATGTCTCTGTGTCACTGATACATGGATCCTCCCCGACCTTCTCCAATCACACCAACCAAGATGTTGTGCAAAAGTTTAACATTACAACTTTCTATTTGTTGAATTAACTATGCTGGATGAGCATTTACAGTATATATTATGAATAGTAATAGTTTTATTTTTCCTGTCACATCTGACCTGACTGGGCTCTACCTCTCCATCACAGGCTCCACTGTCAGCCTGGTCATCGTCCTCCTCTGGCTGCTGGAGGTTTTGGGCCTCGCCGCACTTCTCACTGCAGCTCTGAGTCACTGTGTCAGCCTGGGAAGACGTCGTCCCACTGAAGTTTAAGAGAGAAGGAGCAGAATAAGAAAACATGCCCTCCTAACCGCCTGACTAGAAGGTTATCAGTCCATCAATCTTCAGCTGATTACACCCGCGCAGCCTCTACTGTTACACTCAAGGCGAGCACCTGATTAGGCATAAACATTCACACTCTCCTTGCCTTACCTCTGGGTGCTCTCTCCCTGTTCCTCCTTCTCTTCCTCCATCCCTGCTCATGTGTCTCCCTCCCAGGGTGCCTGATGTTTTATTTCCTCTTAATCCCACCGTTCTTTGACTTTTCCCTTTCTTCCTCTGCCCCTGTGTGTCCTACCCTCTGTCTGCCTCTCTGCCGTCTCCCCTCCCTCTCGGTGTGTGAAACGGAAACTCCAGGCTTTCAATATTTGATGTGTCTGAATGGCTCACAAGAAGGTTTCTGTAAAGAGTAATCAGGTGAGGGCTCTAATGTCTCTGCGGTGGACTCTGTTTTGACATAAGCAAGGCTGCTAAGAATAACACTGAATACAAATTCTGCAAATTCAAAACCTAGTAAGTGTCTTACAACAACAAGCACCCCTAATACAAATATATTTATTCTGTCACTCAAAATGTTACTTGAAATTCAGAACAATTGAGAAGGACTGCCTCAGTATAAGTTGTTTTTTAGGAAAATCCTGGGTAGTATATCCTTAATATAATGTGATGGACATTTCATGAATTTTATAGGCCAAAAATTAGTTGATTCAATGAGAAAATATCATCAGTTTATGATAACAAAGATGATAGTTGCAGCCTAGTTGTTGCAGACTGGTTTAAAAAAAAAAAAAAACATGACAAAAAAATATCTAAATGCAGCGATGTCGATTGATTAGAAAATTAATTGGCAACTATTTTTTCATGAAAATACATTATAGTTTCAGTTTCTCAAATATGAGGATTTGCTGCTTTTCCTTATAATTAGTTTAATCATTTTGATTTTTAAAATTTATTTAAAACATGTTTACAGTGGGTGTTGGACTCTGCCATGGTTGTCCCTTGTCACTGAGCCTGTTTGCGATACTCATGGACGGGATCTCAATGCACAGCCAGGGGAGGAAGGGATCCAGTTTGGGGACCTCGGAATTGTATCTCTGCATTTTGTAGATGATGTGGTTCTATTGGCTTCATCACCTCTAGCATACACTGGGTTTGCAGCAGAGTGTGAAGCAGCTCAAATGAGAGTCAGCACCTCCAAGTCTGAGGCCATGGTTCTCTGCCGGAAAACAGCGGGATTGCCCTCTCCTGGTTGGGAGACAGCAACTACCCCAAGTAAAGGAGTTGAGGTATCTCGGGGTCTTGTTTACGAATGAGGGTATAATGGAGCATGAGATGGCTAGGCGGTGTGGCGCAGCATCAACTGTGATGTGGGTGTAGCGCCACACTGTTGTGTTGAAAAGGGAGCTGAGCCAGAAGGCAAAGCTTTCAATTTACCATCTCGTCTCTGTCCCAACCCTCACCTATAGTCATGAGCTTTGGGTTGTGACCGAAAGAATGAGATGGTGTATACAAGTGGCCAAAATGAATTTTCTTTGGAGGGTTGCTGGGCTCAGCCTTAGAGACAGGGTGAGGAGCTCAGTCATCCAGAGGAAGCTGCTCCTTCTTGTTGAAAGGGGTCAGTTGAGGTGGTTCAGGCATCTGATCAGGATGCCTCCTTGGTGCCTCCCGTTAGAGGTGTTCCAGGCACATCTAAGTGATATGACCCAGAACACGCTGGAGGGATTGTATATCTCATCTGGCCTGGGAATACCTCACGATCCCAAGGAAGAGCTGGAAAGCGTTGCTGGGAGAGGGACGTCTGGAGTACTTTTCTCAGCCTGTCCCAGTGACCCGCCCCCAGATAAGTGGATGAAAATGGATGGATGGAAATTTATTTGAATTTTCTGTACGGGTACTACTTTTGCTTGTAGTACTTAAATACTCCCTTATTGTACTTACTTTTACTTTAGTAACATTTTCAATTCAGGAATTTTACCGTAACAGAGTATTTCTACAGTGTGGTATTAGTAATTTAACTTAAGTAAAGGGTCTGAATACTTTCTCCATCGCTGCTGCTGACACGGCATTTACATCATCACAAATGTTTTGTCATCGCTGGGTTTGATTTTCCTGTAACACCAGTGCTGACACTCATGTTAAAATCATGTTCACTTTGTTAATCTAACAGTGTGTCCATTTCACATTGCACTGTTTCTTAATCTTACAGCCTTTTTTCGTGGCACCTCTCCAATTCTTGTACATGTGCCAGAGTCTTTGTACGTTTCACCATTCAATACAGCTGGGTAAGAGCAGATTTGAATTTTTCTTTTGAATTTTTTCTTATATTTTTTTTCTCAATTTTCTGTTAAGAGAAAAAAAATTAAGAGAGGTCAACTCCAAATGCACCAAACCTTTCTGAGTATGTGATGAGGCCCATTGTGTTCTTCCACGACTGCCATCTTGTGCTATCGACAGCAACATGACAGCATTGTTGTAAGTGACTCATTCCTCCAGCAGATGGAGGCAGAGCATTTGCTTTGTTGCTCATAAACTGTCAGTGGACAAACAAGACCAAAGCCACATCACTGCCACAGGGAATTTCTGTCTTTTTTCTCTTCTGTCCATTTTGTCTACTGGCTATTTCATTTTGTCTCCTACAGTCCAGGAGTGTCTCCTGCATGAGGGGCTCTCTATTCAGGTCTCCATTCGTACATGTTAACTTCTTCACTGACATGAGTTTCCACCATACAAACTCCACATGCAAGACATGATAGGCAGCACACATGATTGACTGCCATTTTCAGCCACAATTGTCAACTAAATTTTGTGACCTTGGCTGTAATTTCAGGGTCGTGTTGAAGAGTTGTGAAATAATCGTGTGTGTGTGTGTGTGTGTGTGTGTGTGTGTTGGTGTGCGAGCGCAATCTGTATGTGTCTTCCTGTAAGTGCATGGCAGGTAAGGAGTAATTTGAGTGTTTTTCCTGTATATGTGTGTTTTTTTGTGGGAGGAGGGAGACAGGAACATAAGTGGCGATGACTCACCAGTCTTTTGTGACAGTGGTGCAGAGAGAGTGCTTTTCATTCATTTCTCTCCCTTGGGGCTTGCATACAAAACAAGAAATGGAGAGAGGGTAAAGAAGAAAAGGAGAGGAAGATTGGGTGTTAGGGAGCATTAAGGAGGACTGGGGGTGGCAGGGTGTGAGGGGGGGGGGGCAGGGGACATGGATAATTGAAGGAAAAAAGCTAGAAGATGGGAATGAGTGTAGGGAGCGGGATAAAGGATGGGGAGGAAGAGATGAAAGGAGGGAGCAAAAAGACAAGGGTTGCAGAGATCATAAACAAAGGATGCATTTTCAAGGGAGAGGCCTTCGCTGCTCTGCCTCTGTTGTCCTAATGGCTGGTGAAAGCATGGTTGATGAGGCATATTATGTGGCAAAGATCATGCTCAACAATGGTAGTTTAACAGACAACAAATTTAACAAACATAACGGGGAGAGAGCCACAGTGATGTGGTTCATATTTGATCTGAAAAGCAGTTTGAGGTCAAGAGCCGCATTATATGGGTAAGTTAAAGCATCTCGACTGTTGGAGCGCCTTTCATGAAATCACGTATAGTTATTTATGCGCCATTAACTTTTTGCTGAACAACCTAAAATCACAGTACAGATGCATGGCATAAAATCTGCTGCATGTGCTTTAAAGTGTGGTCCTCTGTATTTCTAGGTTAGATAGCATTTTGAGTAATTTTGTGATACTGGCACTAAAATGTTAGATCTTTGCTAGTGATGGGCAAAGCAGTTCTTTAGATGTTACTGAATCACTAGAATCAGTTCAATAGAAAGATTTCTATTATAGTACGACTCACTGAACTGATAAACAGCTGAGCTGCTGCTGCGTCTGGTGAGACAGACACTGGTGAGTCTCATTACTGGCCAGCCTAATGTTTTAAGTTTGTTTGTCTGGAAACTAAGTCTGTTATAACAGTGGGAAGGTGTGTGATTGTGTTCATGTGGTTTGACTCCTGGCTACATTAGCCATTAGCTTGGAGAAAACGGTCCCTATGAAAGTGTATCACTGACAGGAAATGATTTGAATCACTCAGGGATCTGGGTTACGTGGTTTACCGAGTGATTCGTTCACTGAGTGATTCGTCAAGCGGTAGGCAGTCCCTCCCTGCGCCCTGGCTGCCTTGCAACTTGCGAGTGATTCATCGTTCACATGGACCAAATCAGCAGTTCCACTCCCGGCCTGCATGCTCGCTGCTGAGCTCCTGTGCCACCCTGCTCAAAGCTAACTTCATGTGGCTGGTCTATTTGTATTTCTTTGGGCACGGCTCCGCAGCCCTCCAACAGGTAAAAACTACATAGAGCTGTGTAAAAAAACAAGTACAGTATGTATAAAAATTATTAAAATAAATACCTTATTGTACCAGAGACAATGCCACTTTATATTTCACGTATAAATCAATCAATCAAATGAATTAACCCTGTTGTTTAAATGATCAAGAAATCCCTCGCAAGGTTTTATTTGATGATAATGATATGTAAACAACTGCTGTATTTGCTGTTGTTTTATTGGTTTACAAATGCAACCTATCGTTCAAAAGCTATGCAGCTCAATTTACTGGTTGAATTGATTAACAATTTCAAGATACAACCATCACAGCAGGTTGAAAAAATGCCTCTGTCAGACAAAAAACAAACTGTCAAGCACATTTTAATCAACAATTCAATATTATCCTGAAAGAAACCGTCCTCCTACAGTTCTCAAACACTGCCTATGATCATATTTCTCCACATGTTATCCATAATTTCTACCATTCTGCATGTAAACAAACTGATCACATGGATATCAAAATGTAGGCAAACTCCTGGACTTTTTATTGACACCTCACTTGAGCCAATAGGAGCTTCCAATGCTGTTGCTATGGCCTTGATAGCCAGCAAGGGCCTGTGTTGAAGGGATGTGCATCACTCACATTTCAGGGGCTCTAGCCAATCAAAGAGCCAACACTTGGCTCAAAGCCTTATGGGTCTTGTAGTCTCTGACACTTTTGAACTGCTTACAGGCACCATAGACTGTTATAAATATACATAACTGTTAACAAATGGCTCCTCTGTTGTCTTAAGGGGGGAAAAAATCTCTCATCAATATCTGGAAGCATTTTTATTTACAGTAAGCTCCCAAATAGAAATTTCTGTCTGCTGTGGTTTTCTGCTAATACCTCCCAGTTC